ATTTTTTGAAAAATCGTTTCACGTGTTTCAGCGTTTTTTTTTAATGTTGGAAGTTGTCGAAATATTTGACCGTCCCGGTACATAATTGACACCCTGTATGAAACTTAATGTATTTTCCATAAAATTTTATGTTGATTTATATGAAATTTAATGCATACGTTTATTATATTTAAGACTACTATAACTTAGTTTTCAGTTAAACTATTAATTTCGTTTCAGTTATATCTCATAATCACAATGCTTCTCTATTACTTACTTAAATTCATTATGAAATTTCTAACGGAGTGCGTAGTTATTTTTAAAGTAAACAATGTTTATATGCACTTAGTAAATAATAAAACTTAATTGTCTATATTACGGGTTGTCACTAACATAAGTGATTAATTCATGTATATTTTTATTGATGTAAAGGCATAAATTATTATTTCAATAATCAAGGCCTTTATGTCAATAAAAATATACATGAATTAATTACTTATGTTAGTGACAGCCCGTAATATAGACTTTAATTGAATCAACAGCATTTTTTTTTCACTGTAGAAATGATTAAAAATAATTAAAATTATAGGTATTAAAATTAATAATAGGTATTAAAATTGACATTATGAATTTAACAGTATATTCTATTCCATTAGAGTCGTGAATTAATTCTAATTTTACTTAATTAATTTTATATTTAACGTTTAAAAGATATGTATTAATCATCTACTAAAATATATTAATTTCTATAATAATTTATCTTTATCATACATTATGCTGCGCTAAATCTGATTGAGATTTCAACATTAACGTATGCACTTAGTAATAAATTACACTTGAGTCTTTAATATAGACTTTCTTGAGTTAAATTATTTAATTCCATTGTTTTAGTTAAATTAATGACCTGTAGAAATAATAAAAAATAACTCAAATTGAATATAATTTTACATGAATTTAACAGTAAGAGAAGGAATGGAGAACACGCGTTTCGTGGTTCTATAGCAGCGAAATGAGCCATATCGGATACAGCGTTTATCGTCTGGAGAGTGTCGATAGCGCGTGTAAAATATTCGTGGGCCGATCGCATAATTGAGTTTCCCTCTGTCGTTTCTTCGCGGAGGAAAGACGAAGGGCGACCGGAAGGGAAACTTGAAATCGTCGCTTCGGCAAATTGCCGGGCGAAATTCGCCAAGCGCGACAGACGGGAAATGAACCTCACTGAGTGCTCGCTGTCTTTCGATGGTCGTCCCCGCATTTGCCACCTTTTTGTCCGCCTTTCCGCTTCCGTCGGGGGGTCACGACGGATAACCCCCGGCTATGGTGGCGGTAAGCGCGCGCGAACGCCTCCCCGATAAGTTATCGCCTAATTATGAAGCCCGTGGGATGCGACGTTTGCACGTAACCCCGGTGATTATAAAGCTTGATTATAAACGTTACGGCCGTTTTTCACAGCTGAAAAATCTTTGCGGGGTATAAGTCTTAAAATGTAGGCAGGCAGCCAGCGGCCCTTGATATACGCTAAGCAAATTTGACGATGAAGCTCGTTTATACGCAGGGAAAAACGCCACCGTGAAATGTCCTATCGGATTGACTTGCCGAGGGCGTATAGATCGAGGATTAAATAGAGAAGATAGATAGATAGATAAAGCGTTTATCAAAAGTTTTAAGCCAAACCCTCTAAGAACATACAAAAAGTGAATTTAAAAAATATAACGGAAAACAGATTATAATGAATGCTGAGTAATTTGAACGGGAAACGTAAATGAAGGTGCAATAAAAATGGAACAGAGCACAATGAGTGTTGAACAAAAAAAAAAAAAACAAAACAAGGTGACAAAACAAGGTAAGATGAACATGATAAGTATGAAGTGCGAGAATGATAATGTGATGAGTGTGATAAAAATGGTGATAATGATGCTCGCAGACAAGTGCTCGGATAAGTGACGGCACATTAAAAGTATTAACGCGATAAGTTTTAGCATAGACAAAAATAGAATAGTTGGAGATGGAAAGACTCCTAAAAAAAATTCTTACTATTTATGATCCAATTCGTTTTTTCGCGTCATACTCGATATCGATAAACCAGCGACGCAAATGGTCCTCAACGATGTAGCCATTTTTACGCATTTCGAACGAAAACGCGAGAGAGGGATGACAAAGTGGATCGATCAAAGCGTATTAGACGCGACGATTAATCGCCGCCGTTATTTCCCTCTTTTCCGCCACTTCGCGTCGCGGCTTCGATCCGACACGGACGCGCTTCGCTCTCTCGGTCGCGTTAGCCCTTTTATATTTTCATTAACCGTCATTATTCCGCCTACGCTTTGCCGCGGTCACCAGCGTGCGCGACGTTTTTCCGCACGCAAAGCGGAAGCGGACGGACGCACAGGGTGCGTGGGCGGCGGCGGTCGTTACAAAGGCGGATCAAATTACAACCGGTGCGGGGATTAAAGCCGGAGGAAAAAAAAAAGAGGATAGCGTTTGCGTTGCCACGCAAAAAGGCACACCCGCGAATCCGCCTCTCATCGGTCCGCTTT